CAAAAAGGATAGTAACTTTGATGAACTGAGTAATTTATTCGCACAGCTACATTTGAAATAAATAACACTCATAAGTCTAAATTATATAACGGGTAAATACCAGTCTCACAATTTTTGAGAAGGCTGCTTTCAATTTGCACTATCCAGCAGCTAACAAATTTCTTTAAGGCTGTGACGAAGCTAAGGAAAAAGTAACTGCCGCAGACAAAGCTAATCTGACCAAGCTTTTGAGAAGCTTTTTGAGAGATTATTTTAGAACTAGAAATCAAAACACTCAAGTAGTATGCCAATTGTGTAATGCTAGAACGCCGTTATTTTGCAATGTTTGCAATACGTAAGGGCAAAATAGCGACAACTGCTATCTTGCTGTAATAATTTGTCAATAGAGTGACAAACCAGGCCACGTAGCTAAGAACTGTACGCAACTTTTAATACAAACCAAAAACTCGCTGCATTGTCAACTGTGCAATCAAAATGGCGATACTGCTGCTACCTGCAAAGTATGCGCCCATTGCAAAAACACAGGCCACACAATACAAGAATGTACGTAGAAACAATATAATAAGCGTAAAAACAAGAAAATCAGGGAAACGATGTAACCCCTCAGATTATGAGCGAAACTTTAAGGGCGCCAAACAACCCAACGTGCTTAGTAGACCTGAAGTGCTTACTTGCCGAATTAATACCCTTGGTGTAATATGTAAAAATAAATACATACCTTACGTCGCGTCGGTAAGCTTCATGATAGATTCTGGACTTTATGAGAACCTAACCAAAGTTAAAAGTTTCCTGATGGAGTTGACATAAACAATAATGACGCATAAAATTTTATGAAATAATGAATGAAACTATTTTATAAATTAAAAAAACTATTTTAAAATTATTTCAGAAAAATATTTCGTTTTATATAGTTCATGAGTCATTCGTAATACCGCATGACATAATTTTGAAAATAAAATAATTACAAGATACGAACTGTGGACTGAACTTTTAGCACATGCTCTTAAAACTGCTAGGACTAGTTATCGGTTTCAAACAAAATTTTGGATGTAACTTAACCCCTACGCATCACTTGAATATCAATGAGATTCGTGGAGAATTTTCATAGTTTAACATTTATAAACCTAAAAAACAACTACTAGTAGACACTGGATCCGAAATCAGCATAATACGAAAACGACTATTTCTATCTGGTTGCAAAATTGACATAAAGTAACACTAAAATTATAATGGGAATCGGGCAAATTTACAATGACACTCGGCTTAACTACTATTAATTTACTAGGTATAAATGTAAACTTTCAAGTAATCAATCACGACTCCAAACTGCTATTCAAAGGGATTCTCGGCTCAGATTACTTCACAAAATTTAAATCTAGACTTAATTTTTAAAATAAAATTACGGTGATGAATAAGGAAAAAATTTTTTTTTCAGTAAGAAGCACACAAGTATAATTAAAAAACCAACAAAAGTCTGAGCTTGGATATAGCGTTTCGAACTAGTCAACGAGTGATGAGATTGTTACGTGCTTATCACAAGCAGAATCGCTCTCAGAGGTAAGGAACGATAAAATCAAAGATCTTACCGGTAACGGAGCTATAATCAACAAATTGTTTGGCCTTGGCGAAAGAGAAACATATAAAAACTCAACAGAGGAAACTTTTAATGAAGTCGATGTACGAAGCAAATTTATGAATGTTTATTTTGTCTGAGAAGGCAACAGCAAACCTGTAGCAAACGTTGAGCAACAATGTGTTCAAAAATAATACGTAATTATTTGGAAGTGTATAATTATATTTATTTACCTGTGCTTACCATTGCGACAATATTTTTTATTTTATTTATGTATGACAAACGAAGAAACAGACACATTAAACATGATTGGATTTCATATTTAAGTTCAAGTACACAGATTTGTATGTGCGGCGTGCACGACTGTTTTGTTAGCATGCGTATTTAAAGGAAACGCCACAGCTTCAAGATAGACGTCATAATATCGACGAGCAGTTGGCTCGCTCTCTCTACTAAATCCTAATATGCAGAAAAAAATTAATGTTCCAGTACCATTTATCACGCCGCTGCCAGGAATAAGAGCACTGACGGAGGAGGACGGGTCACATTACTTATTACTAATTATTGCGTGATTTGCGTGAGCTGCAGCAAAACCGAGTGATTTGTACACTTTTTATACTATTAATACGGTGCCACGCTAAATAACATCAAATATGAGTACACGTAAAATCTCCTTCAGTCAATACACCGGCTCACACTACAGGCTCACACTTTCGTCAATTATTCCACCATAAAGCTCTGCTGATACTCGCTGTGCGGTCAGCTCTTTCGTTGCTCAACTCAACCACGGACGCGGTGGGGGTCTGCTCATGCGGCGTTACGTTGGCAAGAGCCCTACCTTCGGACATGGAGCAAGACAGAGACAGCCTCTGCTTTCATATCAGACGGTGTCTGTTGTTAATAAGTGAGTGAGTGCACACGCGCGTGTGTAAGTTTGTGTATGTGTGTGTTCGTGGCGTGCACCTATGTGTGTGCTTCACTGGTGCCTTATATGCATTCGTGTGAGTGGCAGTAAATCAGTTGCAGTAGCGGGGGGTGTGGCATAGAACGTGCGGGAGAGCTGCACGAGATACTTTTTCATACATGCTTGTTGCGCAGGCACGCTCTCTTCGTCAACGCCATACATGGTAAGCTGCATCAAGAAGACATGGTTTGCTACCTATTAGACCCTTGATACTGACCGCACATTTTGGGAGTGTCTGTGACACGTCAAATTGCCGTGTTACAATAGAAACACTGCGAGAAAAACACCCAGCAGACGCATTATTTGGATCCCATATTTAATAAGATTTTGACCACGTAGCTTCTAAATTTAACCCCGAATATAGTACAACTGAAAAGAAGTATTATTCAACTCAACAGTCCATTCAAAGTAAACTTTAAAATGCAATAACTCGAAGAAACTCGATTCGGTAACCTTGCAGCCTTAACATTATAACGTGTCATTCCATAATCTCTAATTTTCAAAATTTAGAGAAGAAATAACAAAGTGCTTGTGATAAGCACATGATCGCTTATCACTGGTGATGTTAAAAAAAATTAGGCGTGTGTGAGTGCACACCTCCTCAGTAGCTCAAGTGGGAGAGAAACTATCTAGACAACTGGAGATTGTTTGTTTGATCCACACCCAGATATTTTTTTTTATTCTTGAAAATCCTGAAAATAGCTTCAAATTTCTTTAAACTTTTAATTTTTGTCTTTCGAAATAGATGTGCCTATAAATTTGATGATACATATATATCACAAATTATTTTTAAATTATATCATTTTTCAAAATTATATCTTATTAGATTATTAAATCTGAGATATGGTCGAAATAACTAAAAAACCGAAAATAAAATCTATTAACACCTATAGTGTATGAGTTTACGACTCCTCGGTAGCTTAAGTAGTAGAGCAACTATCTAGAAAATCGGAGATTGTGTGTTTGATCCACACCTGAAGAAGATTTTTTTTTATTCTAGTGAAATTTCTTGATACTTATAATGTTGGACTCTTCAAATTCAATGGAAATGTTATTTGTCATCATAAAATGACGTAATTGGACTGTGAGTAGTACTTCTATCTATACGTGTGCCTATAGAATTGATGATACATTTGTAATACAAACATTGCTTGTTGTACTAGTGATAAAGTCACATAAAAACATCTGAAGACAAAATTATTGATGATTAGAAAAAAAAAATATCATCACACTGTAATAAATACAAAGAGACGAAATATTTGGCTGACAGTGAGCTACTAAAATTAAAATATTAATTTTAGTTTAAAAAATAATCTTTCTTACCTTGGGTCGTTTTTCATGCCAATCGGACGCTACTGCACCCTTGGTAGAAAAAATAGTGTTCTACTCACAAGCTCTATCTAACCGGGGATACTTTACAGTCTCTCAGGAGTTACTATGCAGGACCCTCAGACCGCGTAATAGCTTTGGTGGCGATGGTACTTCTGTGACAAAAACTACTATTTCTAGAGATAATAAAATTGGCAAAAATAACGAACACATAATGTTAGAATACTCAAGTTATTACATAGTAATATAATTATGCAAAACTACTGCATGAATAGTACAAAATTATAAAAACACTCGCGTTATTACGTTTAGAAGTAAATGATCTAGTTTTTGGAAGAGATAGTTTACTAAAATGAGCCAGTATGCTAATTGTAAGAGATCAGTTTTTCTACAACAGGCATAGCAGTGGCCTCAAAGTGTTCTTTTCGTGTAGATACTGACGTAACCTTAAAAATGTATGATGGATTGAGATTTTTTAGTTGAACAATACATCATTTGCTTTATTTTTCCTGTATTCTAGAAACAATTGTTTATAAGCTCAAAATAGTTAAGCCGTTAGACTTTTTCTTGTTCGAGATTGACCATTTTGAGAAAAAAAATTGTTTTACATTTACGTAACAGTTGGTAATGCCTTTTAACGTTACAACCGATTATAATACTTTAAGACTCAATCTTTTCAGAATCGTACAAACTTTAAAAAAGTTATTTGGTTTTCCTCAATCTTGTAATAAAGCTATTTGCTGAAAAAGACGAAAAATTTCTTTTATAATAGCTTATGTTCTAATGTTGATGATTTTTACCTCAGTCAAAAGTAAAGAGTATGCATAAAAACTCATTAAAATTCTGAATTTTTGATATTTTAAAGTATAATTTGTTGCATTGTAGAAAAAGTTTTTACTGTATTAAAGATCCAAGAACTATATTGCAAAAACAATAGTAAAAAATATACATCCCTAGAAGTGGATATCCCTATGTTATTAATAAAATATAAATTATCATTGAACATAATTATTGATATTCTAAAAGGTAAACTCAACGTTGTTGAGAAAATAATTTAACTTTTTTCGATTTTTCCTATTTATTCTCCTATTTATTTGTAATTTATCAGAGTGATAAGAATTATTGCTTTTTCAGATGAAGCTAAAGATGGTGTGAAGAAGTCTGAAGTTGTTGCCTGGTATCTCGATAAAATTCAAGACGAGATCGATTCTGAAGAAGAACTATTAGAACGAAAATCTTTAATAGAGAAAATCATCTTAAGACTTGTATATCATGATGAAATTCTTATAGAATTAAGAGATGAAAAAATAAAGGAAAATGAAGATCAGGATCCACTATTAATTGTTCATCCAAATTATGTTGTGGAGTAAATTCTTTATTTTTGTGATTTATAACTGAAAAAGTAAAATTTGGACTATGACTTTAGACTTAAAGTGTAATACATACAAACATTATTTATTCTGAAATGCTTCAGCTCAATAAAGGCAGAAACAATTTATACTTTAAATATAACTTTTTTTTAATGTTTAGAGGCTTACCCATACATAAACTTATTCATAGGATTTTAAAAATGTGTTACATCAATAAATAAATTAAGGACAACGAATGATTGTGTACTCCAGTGTTGACTAAGACACCAACTATGTAAATCAGAGCCGTTTTAAATCATTTATTGCTTCAAAGAAATCTTATTTATAAAAAAAAACTCAAGAATATATAAAAATGACTAAGACATTTTTTACCAAAACAAAAGTTGTAAGAGGAATATAACCGTTGTCTATTTTAAAGTATTTTATTGTACATTATTTTAAGATTAATAAGTCAATTCAACTTTTAAAAAAACTAAATTTTAAAACGAATCTTAGTTATTAGTATCCTTGTAGCGATGTACCCTTACTCAATGGTTTATGTGTGACTTGCGAGTAAAGGGTGTGATTGTCAAATAAATTTTTTTCTAGAATTCGTAGTGTACTATGAAAATTGAGCTTATAGAAAGAATAAAGAAAATTCGTGATTTTATAATATTGCGTTTGATTTTATAAACATTAGCAGATAATGATTCCCTACGATAAAATCATTTAAGTCTAGAAAAAATGTCAAAGTTTTAACGAAAAGAACAATGTATTTTCTTTTAATTAATTTACTTAAAATACTTGTCTCATTCAGATCGGACAGATTAGGAAAAAAGTTTAGTGACACACTTTTGATTTGGCTGAAATTTTTTTTACGGATCCCATATCGAAAAAAAGATGCACGAGTTCATAGATTTTTTTCCTCAATATTTTTTGAAGCATAAGGTGTTGAAAATTCAACATTTTGATGGTTTTTGGCTGGGAAACCTATTTAAAAAAATTCTTAACTCTTGTTTTGTTAGAGCTACAAACTTTTATTTTTATTTTAAATACTTAAATAATGATTAATGACAAATACACAGTGTTGTAAGCAATTAAAACGTTGAAATCGGTTTTTACCCCTTGCCCCACCCTCGTAGTGAGTTTAAAATATTACCATTATATTCTACGTCAAATTTCCTATATCAAACGTTTATTTAATACATGGAAAAATTGTTTTTACTATTAAAGATAAATTAATTATTTTAGCGATGTACGTTGTATCGGCGTGCGGGTTCCTTTGCACGCCATGCACATTCTCTAACCCCATATCTTAGCAATATTGATATTTGGTTTATACTTCTTATTTATTCAATAAATTAGTAATACCTGTCAACACATAAGATTGTATGAATAATTTAAAAAAATATTTTAGTGAATACAAAACATATTTGTTATAATTTATTATGATATTTTATTTAAAGATTATTACAACTGTTTTATTGTCATCTAATAATAATTTCTTGGCTTTTAATATCTGAGGAGGGATCGGAATCGTACTGTGAAACTGTAAAGTAACTTTGATCGTTATAGCTTTTTGAGAACATGCTGATGACTTTTTCTTCTTCATGCTAATCATTTGTTGAACGACGAGATATTATATTAGGAAAATCTTCTGTTACCCAAACAAATAATTCTTTCGAAGTACGAATAGGGTTATTTACCCTGTGAAGACTTGCTCTAGCAGTAAGTTGTTTCAAAGTCCCACCTATTCCATCACATGATCCCGTTCCATAAGACGTAGGAAAAAATGCCTTTCAGTTGCTATTTAAAAATTTTCTAAATGATGTGTGATGTTTATAAAAATTGTTTTATTATTATACGGCACGCTAAAATTACAAATAACAATGCATCCGTTTCTCATTAAATTTTTTTTTTTTTTTTTCATTAAAAATGGGCTTTATTTTTTAACTAAAAAAAATTTAGTAATAGTTTTCCAAGTTATTACTTGAAAGTTGTAAAAACTCATCGTCAGCAGATATTAGAATTTGGCGTAAAGTTCTTTTTGTCATCACCCATCGTTTGTAACTTGAATTTTCGATTAATTTTGTTCATAATTTTGTTCCAATTGCTTAAATGCTCAATCACATTTTGTACACCAGGGCACTTTTTATATTATTCCATTAAACAATCAGTGGATTGCATATCACACATCATGCCAGTCAAACAATCACGATAATTCGTAATTGAGCGTAGAAAACCAGCTGTTATTAACTTTAAATTCGCTTCATCGATTAACATTTTCACATTTTCGTGTATCAGAGAGACGCAAATCGAGTGTGTGCTACTAGCTCCTGCTAATATATTACAGTGTTTTGGGTATAAGCTTGCAAACTTAAAAAAATGACATTTTATTGTCGAATAATTGTTTTTGAATACATTTTACAATTCTTTTAAACTATTAAAAATTAGGAGTGCATCACAATTTCTACTCGTTCACTTTTATGGAGATGTAATCATGTATTCCTGGCATTAATTGGGTGCATTTATCAGACTGATCAACTATAGTATTAATATACTGTGCTTCCAAAGATCAATCGACTTGTATCACTAGATTAGCTTCAATAGTAAATTTTCTCTGGTAGTAAAAATAGCTTCTCCATTATTTAAAAAGACGTTTTTTATAGGAGATTTAATGTAAAATATGATGGTAGCATCTAAAATATGCTATGAGGATGGGGCAATAGTTAAAAACCAATTTAAAAATTTTGATAAATATATATATATATCTCTTAAGTCATGTTTCTGGTACCTGATATATGTCCAAGTTTTAAAGCATATGTACGTACTATTGGAAGTGGTGATAAATAAATTTCTAATAATTTTCACACATATATTATTTATGTCCATAAAAAATACATATATAAATTTTTAAATAAACAATACTTTATGGCATCCAAGGTAAAAAGTAATGCTTATGGCACCTAAAAAAATTTTGCTTTAGAAAAGTATTCAAAGA